AATGTAAAAATAATCCTATCATGTCTGCCTTGTGAATTCCAAGACACATCCCTAAAGAGAATGGCAGAAGCTGTCATCTTGGTCCATTTCAGAGGATACACAGCTGCAACACAAAACTGGTCACTACGATTACTGGTAGTTTGGTCACAGAATTCTCTCTATCAGCTTCCTTTAAACTTAAACATATCAAAAGCCCTTCTGTCATGAATTCTGCATTTTGTTAATTTTGTACTTCTCAGAAACAATCTCAAATCGAGATAACTAAGGATGATTTCTTCAAAATATATTTTGATATGACGTTCTCTACCTGTTGGAACCGGCAAAACACAAGTGGTTCTGTAGAGGGTGGATTATGGTAAGTATGTGTCAACCCGACTGAGTTAAGGGATGCTCCGGTAGCTGGTAAAACATTTGTGTGTATGTCTATGAGAATGTTTCGGTGTAGATTAGTATTTGAATCAGTAGATGGAGTAAAGAAGGCCTGCTCTCATCAATGTGAGTGGGTATCATCCAGTCCACTGATGCCCGCTCTTCTTAAGTTGGGATGATCTCCTGTTTTCAGACACAGAAGTTCCTTGTCCTTAGGTCTTTGGACTCTGACACTTAGACTAGCATCCCCACCAAACACTGATGGTTGGTGATCAGATTCAACTTAATTACACTACTAGCTTTTCTGGTTCTTCAGTGTGCAAATAACAGTAGGATCTCTCAGCCTGTAAATCATGTAAGCCAATTCCTATAATGACCACCCCCCCATACCACCTATTGATCCCATTTTTCTGGAGAACCCTGACTAATATAGTAGATAAGCTGAGCTTTGCAGGGTGTGATGATGTTAGAAACAGGAGCTGAAAGACTGATGTCCCAAGGAAGAAGTGGCAGCAGGGAAAGACCAAATGCTGGGTCCTGTGACTAAAATGATGAAGTCTACTGGGGCAAGAGAAGAGACCACATGATGTTCTCTAGTTGAGTGTAAATAATGAGGGAAGGACACATGATTCTTTGCTAATACCACCACTAAAATGCTTTGGTGGCTAAGGATGATGCTTTCCTGTACACAGACACCCCTTCACTGGTGATGCTCACAGCAGGGACGTGTCAGAATCCAATCAAGTCAGAGACAGCCCCTCAAAGCCATAAGGCCTTACCACCTGGATCCCGGAATGTTGATATCCACTGAAGCTTTAATTCTTGCTAGAAAACTGCTTGCCACCACTCTCTTCCCAAGTCTATGTTGTTCTAATCAGATGCCTCACTAGAGGCAATCCCTCACAAAAGGTTCAGAGAAAGCGATGGTAGTAAAATCCCTCATCTGGGGGAGGATGAAACCATGACGTTCACTGGTCTTAACTTTCACTGTATGTACTCAAGCAGAGGAGAATTAAGGCTGTCTTGAAAATGGTATGGAGTCCAGCAACTTGTCAGTGCCACAGCTGGATTACAAGATTGGCAGCTTACAACTCAGGCATGGAACAATTACCAGTCAAGCCGTAACTACCAGAAGCAACTTGGAATGACTGGAGGCAGTATATAATGACTCCAATGGGACAGGAGAGGTGCATTGCTGCCACCATATCAGGGGATCAGAACCAGGAAGGGTTGCAACCAGTGAGCAACGGGGATCCATTTGCTGAGGCCTCCACTGACGGGAATGTTTCAAGGATGGATTAACGCCATTAAAAGCATCACATTCACTGTCGAAAACCAAAAACCAAGATCTACCATCTAAATGATCCTCCCACATAATACCAGCCTCTGGAAACTCTCTCCTTAGTTCCAGGGAGCGTGCCATCCCTGCCACACGTCCAGGAAAATTTAAGAAATCGAAGATCCTTGGCATGCTCCAAGTAACTCACTTCCTTCAAGTAGACTCCACCTCTGAAACGTTCATCAGCTGGCAGCCAAGCCTCTAACACGTGGCATTCAGGGGACATTTCAGATCCAAGCCATAATAGAGGCTCCTATGACAATTCGGGGGGGGGGGGGGCGCGGGAAGTACTCTATCCCAAGCTGAGGAAGTAGCCAGAGCCAGGGACACCGTATGAGTTTTCTTTTGCTGCTGTTCAAAGAACTGGCCACCAACATGGTGGGTTAAAGCAATACCATTATTCAGCTGCAGCTCTATGAATCAGCACGAACCCTCTTTCTGGAGGTTTTAGGACAGATTCCATCTGTTTGCCTCTTCTAGTTTCTCGGGGCTTCCTCCATTCCTTGGCTCATGGCCCTGTATCATTCTGGCCTCTCTTCCATCATTCTGCTCTTCTTTCATGCTCGCCCTCCTGCTTCCTTCTCTCTCCTCTCTCTCTTTTATTGTCAAGGTGATATGCTGAGGGGTTACAGTTATATAAGTCAGGTAATGAGTACCTGTCTTTTAGAACAGTGTTACCCCTCCCTCATTTTCTCCTGCTTCCTTCTCTCCTGTAAGGACCCTGGATGACACTAGGCTTCCCTGAATCAATTAGGGTGATTTCTCCACCTCCAGGTCCTTAACTTCATCACATGCACAAAGCCTTATTTGTTATGGAAGGTGAGTAACATGCTCACAAGCTCCCCAATATGCTGACTCTAGGCATCCAGTCAGAAATTTGCCTGGTGGGTTTGAGGCCTGCCAGGATACTAATGGGGTGAGTCGACAGCAGTAGAAGCATGACTAAGGAACGCCAAGGGGGCCAATGTGACTGGCACAGGGCAGGTGGGGACCTAGGAAAGTGGGCTGGTGCCTGTGAGTTAGCAAAGGCTCACTTGGGCTCCTACTGCCCATGCAAAGTGAAGATTCAGGAACAAGACAGGTAGAATCCCAAGACTAAGTTTTCTTTTTGGGTTTTTGTTTTATGTCAGTTTTAAGGCTTGAACTCAAGGGCCTGGGCGATGTCCCCAAGCCTCTCGGTGCTCAAGGTGAGCGCTCTACCACTTTAGCCATAGCACCAATTCCAGTTTTCTGGCAGTTCATTGGAGACAAAGAGTCTCACGGCCTTTCCTGCCCAGGCTGGCTTTGGACCACCATCTTCAGCTCTCAGCCTCCTGAGTAGCTAGGATGACAGGCGGGAGCCACTGGCACCGGGCTCTCAAGAGTAAGTTTTCTTAGCCTCAATACTACCAACAGCATAGGCCAGCCAAGACCGTGCTGTGAGGGTCAGCCTCTGCACTGGAGAATTCTGAGCACCTGCTGCCCAACTGTGGCAATGACCATGAGCTACAGTTCCACTCCCCATGCTCAGAAGCACTGCACTCACCGGGCAGGCTATGTGTGCCTGTGCAGCCAACCAGGTCAACCTACCCTGCATATTGGATTTTTAGCAATTCCAGATAGCCCAGAAAGGCATTCCTGAAAAGCCTCTACTGTGACACTAAGCTGGAAACTCAGCTGAAACCCTTCTCTATAGCTGCAGTAAGATGCTCAGTGTTCTGGCAATCTTGAAATAATACTTTCATTCAAAAGTAATCAGGAAGTGCAATGCATGTTCCCTGAGTAATTTTCTTAAATACTCAATTTTCCCCAAAGATATTGTTTGACATTTAAAAGGTGACTTACTATATACCGACATCATTTCTAGAAAACAAAGAGGCCACTTGCTATGTTTGGTAAATGTCACAGCAACACACAACAATTATGGTCCTAAGTGTAGCAATGATCTCTTTTCTGTGTTTGATGCAGCACAGCAAATTCCAGTAGCACCCACACTTCGAAGTTCCACTTCGAAACAGGCACAAACAGGCAGAAGACGAGTCAGAAGAAACAATCAACCCTCACAAGCAAGAGAAGGAATGCATGCAAAATGAAGAATGTGACCACGAGGGGAACCAGCTCTGGTCAATGAACTTGGCAACATTCTGTAGGGAAACTTAAAGCCCACCACGAGTATACCCTAAAGAGCCAGGAAGAATCGGTGTATCACCTCTTAGCAAATATAAGGCCATGTCAGTTTAAGTTGGCCCTGTAGCAGGAGTCAGATGGTCTGCTTTTGCTGCTATTTTTACAGTTTCTACAAAGCCAACAAAGTCGATTTCCAGACTCTATGAGGTCTAAAGTATACTGAACAGGCCCAAGTGCTGAGCTTCCAGAAAGGAGACCCTCATCTCGCCTGATTTCTGCTCCTTTTTCCTAAGATAATAAGACAGCATTTCATTTATGACTAAGGAAACGTTTTAAGAAGTTATAATTCATACTTTTCTAAAGCATATATTTTGAATGGATCTGATTTTCAGACTCTTTCCAGAAGGCATAAGAGATAAAGTGTCTAAAAAGAGGACATGTGATCCAGGAAAGGGTCAGAATACTGAAAATGGGGCCCTAAACCCCTGAAGAGAAATGTGGCACACTAAAAATACCACACTGGAAAAATTCTGCTGTGAGAGGACTGGGGAGAATTCTCAGGTTGGCCCGTGTTCTATGGTGAAGGCTGAGGGATAGCATTGTTGGTGAAGAAAGAGAAACTCAATCCACACACCCAGCTAAATCTCAGTTTGCGGAAGGCAAGAGAGTCACAATGCAGGTCAACATAGGTGATGTCACTTCTCTCCAATAAAATGAAATTGAGTAGGTGCTTCTGTCACTTGCTGACCTAATACTTAGTAAAACAGCTTGTACACTAAGCTGTGTGTGTGTGTGTGTGTGTGTGTGTGTGTGTGTGTGTGTGCTTTTCTGCACTGACCTATGACATTAGGAGCCACATAGATGACAGGACAGTTTTATCACACTAGTCTGAGGGACAGATACTTCCTGTGGGAGGGAAGGAAGGGAGTTCAGAAATAGCTGGTATGACGAAGAAAGTTGCAAAAGTCTCTATTCTTATAGACTCAACTCTTCACAAATCTGCAATACCAAGATTCCATTTAAGCACAGTCCAGAGTTTGCCATGTCGATTAAGAAGGTACATATAAATGAAGATACTTTGGTTTGTATTCCTGCAGACACTGATTTATGCTGAAAGTACACTGAGCTTTTTTCCATGAAAGAAAGAAGTAAGCAGAAGGCAAGATTGTAATAATGTGCTTCTTACCTCTTTCGGGCTTCCTCATATTGCCAGTTAAGTCTGACTCGGTCTACCAGTCTTGTTTTATCATCAAAGACAAACTTCCCAGAAGAAAGAACCAAAGAAAAGGGGGGGGGGGGGGGAGAGGGAAACGACATTAAAAACGTATTTTCAAAACATCAAGAATTCATTTAAACTTTCAGAAACAATACAGACTATTCTTTTAATTTGTCTTCCAACTTCAATTTTTCAAAGCCCTAGAAGAGAATACTTCAAATCATACTCTGCTGCTACCTTTGACGGGTGAGGGCTGGGAGTCAAGCTGAGAAGACCTTTGCTTCCCTAAAACTGGTATTGTTTTTGTTTTATAAACAAGGCAAGTATACTCATCCACCATATAATCCCAAATAACAACAAATTAGCTTTAAAATAAAACAAGAAATTACTTAGTATAAGTTGATACAAAGGCAAAAAAATGTGTCCAACTTTGTACTGCAGACTCTCCGATTCCTCAATAAACACTAAATACACTTGTCCCTCCATATTTGTGAGTTATATCCATAGATTCAACCACCTGAAGATCAAAATTGTAGCTAAGGAAAGAGTGACATGTTAAATTGAAACTCCTTTGTACAACTACTTAAAGATAATAAAAATTATTCAAAAAAGCTGTAGTTAGGAATGGTCAAACTTTTTCCCTATTACTATTTCCCAACAATAGAATATAACAGCTATTTGTGTAACATTTACACTGCATTAGATATTATAAGTAATCTGGAGAAGATTTTAAGTATATGGGAGGAAGTGTGTAGGTAATGTTGCACACACCATTCCATTTTACATAACGAACTCAATCATGTGTGGATTCTGATATCTGAGGAAGGCTCTGGCTGTGGATGCTGAAGGACAACGGTAGTGATCTGCTAAGAAGTCTCAAATTCTGAAGCAAGACTAGTATGTAGGAAGTAGAGGATGATTTCCAAAGTCATAGTCACAAAAACAAACCATAAAAGGAAGGAAAGTGAAGGGATGATCATTTTAGAATTACACTTTAAATGCTCAAAATATGATCAGTAGCTGTGATTAAATATTAAGTATTTTATTAAATATTAAATGTATACACTATTTTTATACATGATTTATATCGTATTAAATATTTTATTAAATATTAAATATTTTCATACCAAGTATACTGAAAAGAACAAAATCCTACACACACACACACACACACACACACACACACAGAGAAACAAACTAGTTAAACCAAGAAAACAGCTGTAAAGCTGCCAAGCCAAGACAAGCCCCAGTAAACTGCAGGAGCTCATAAACCATGACAATTTACAGCTAGAGTAGCAGAACCAGCCACCACTCTTGACCTAACATTTTTAGAATGGCTTACCAAATTCATTAGAGAGCCTTTGATCTTATCTGTTTCTCTCAAACCAATTAAGAGCTGTAAATTCTAAATCTAATCTTATGATAAGCAGCAGGGAGTCACTTCCAGAATTCAATTAGTTTTCTACTTGTTTCCTTCCTTCAAAATCTTTAGGCAAAAATGCCAAACATTTTTGACTCAGGTGCTTTTATGTTACAGATGATGACCATATTCTTTAAACTGAAGAAGGTGTCTGCTCAAAAATGCCCAAATCTGCTTTTGACCATGACAAAGGTAAACCTGAAAATAGGATATTTCCAGGACATCAAGACATAAATCATGAGTCATAATTTATATCATCCTCTCCCTAGAAAGGTTCTATCCCAAAATTTCAAAATACCAGCTCATTATTTTAAATCCATAGCTTTCCATCAAATAACTTCTTCTCCCTTTTCTGGTTTCTTTTTATTTAATGAGGTAGGGAGGAAGAGAGATTCCACTGGTGTTTTATCTTAGCCCTCCAAATTGCTTTCCAAATAGATTTACTGGCAAATCAGTTTCAAACTCAGTGACATTACACAAGCATATTTTTGATTATTCACTACACAATTTCAGCTGATAATTCTCCCAACCATTCCTGTAGTTAACTAAACGCTTCATTAATTACTAACAGGCACAGGGACAGGTGTGATGGCTCATGCTGTAATCTCAGCTCTACAGGAAGTATAAACAGGAGGGTCTCTGCCTGCAGCAACCCCAGGCAAACAGCTTTGAGATTCTAGGTGAACAATAACTAAAACACAGGGCTGGGGGGATATGGTTCGAGTGTAAGAGTACCTACCTAGCAAGTGTAGAACCCTTTAAACCCTAGTACCATCAAAGTGGGGGGAGGTGATACAATTATTCCAGTTCTCAAATTTTCTTTTAGTTCTCCCAGTGACATTCCTTTAGTAACATTCACTTTTGAAGAGCAAGAAATGGCAACCAAGTATAACCCAGGTGGTCTAAACCAGAGATCAAATCCAGCACACTGCCCACTGTGTAAATAAAGTTGTAGGGCACACAGACAACCCATTCTCCCACTTATCATCTGGTACTGCTTTTGCAATACAATGACAGAGATGAACAGTCAAGGTAGAGAGGGTCTGCCTGTGAAGGCTAAATATTTGCTAACTGATCCTTCCACAGAAAATGCTTGCTGACCCGTGCTAAGAATCACGTGGTGTATCTTATGTCACTGAAGCATCACAGCTGGATACTTTTTCAAACATAATGACACAAAGCCCAAAATACTTCTGAAATGAAAATGTAAAATTAAGTCAAATGAGTGACAGCAATGCAATCCAACAACTCTTCTCTGGGCTCATGCGTTTCTCTGCTCTAGGTCAGACATACCTCCCCCATGGCATCGGTCTGAGAGCCGGTATCACAGAACTGCTGAGCGGTGCTGGAGTTGCCATGCGTGCCTGCACTGTGAGGGAAATCTTGCAGAGAGTCAGTGATGGAGCAGCTATTCTTGAAGCTGTCAGTAAGCTTGGCCAGGCTCTGGAAGAGAATAAGACAAGCTCTCTGAAGTAGAGAAGGCAAGGTTTCCCTTTGCTGTGGAAGCAATCATTTCTTTTCTGTTCTAGGTCTGCAGCCTTATGACTGGAGAATTACCCTTCCTCAGCCCCCTTTCTCACTAGATTTTAAACTACATGTTTTTCACTGCATGCACTTTTAATAAAATTCTCAGTCATTGAAATAAGAAAGTGATTCAGTCCTCCTGGCAGCACATGAATAAAAGAAAACTGTTATAAGGCCACTTTTACTGGATTTTAAATATTTGTATTTCCTAAAGAAAAAATGCTCATTCCTATTCAAGAAGTTCAATGAGTAAGTGACTCTTGCAAGATGCAGGCCTTCTCAATATTATTACAGATATACCACAGAAGATGAAAACAGCTCCAGACAATGCTCATGCAGTTTTATAACCTGATTTTTTTCAGTCATAATTATGTATTGTCAAAAGTAATCTCATATCAATGTTAGTTTGCCAAAAAATTATAATAAAGTATGCATTTGGGCACAAGGAACCCTTTGTAGGGAAGTTTAAGACAAATCTGATTTTTTTTACCATTTCTTTTAGACTTTTAAACCTAGTCACCTTCAGTTATCCCTACAGATACTAGAACCAGAATGCGTAAATGCAATAGAACGCACATAATTGGGTCAAAATCGTGACAAAGGTCCCTTGGTAGGAGCTAGTCATATTAAGTTCATATAATAACCAAAAAACCTCAATCTAATGATTTTAATGGAAGAGAACTTTGGCTCAAGCATCTCCCTAGGGCTTCTCAGAGTTGAAGAAGCCGTGGAGACCTCAAAGAAGATAGTGGGGCATGAGGCTTCTGTAGAAATTGTATCTCCTGCCTCCATGATGGAAAATCTAAGCAAAGTAACTGGGCAGCTTTTCCCAGTGTAGCCCACCATGGTTTCAGAGACTACAGACAGGGAGTCCCACTTGTGTGGGACTCACTGTGTCTCTGCCATGAAGTGCCACTTGGTCCACCCTGAGTGTTGGCCAGGATTATATGAATAACAGACATTTTGGAGAGCATGATGAGAACTTTCTATTAAGTCCTCACAGCCTTGACCTTGGGAAGCACTACCAAATAAGACCTTCATTTGTGCATCGGTCGCGTATTTGCTTATAAATCTGAGCCTTGCATTCTATGTTCTCTGAATTTATATTCTACAGAATCTAGACAAATGCCTCTCAGGCACTAGGTGCTACTTTAAGTGTCAAGTGAAAAATAAAAGCTATAATAAGCAGCAATGAATGTGTTCTATCACTAAACAAACAGGAGGGCATTTATAAAACTGACAAAAAAAAAAAAAAAAACAAATAAAAACCACAGAAGTTCAAGGGGTAAAATCATTAAGTAATACAAAGCTACAATGGCCCCTACTACATAATTCAAATACTATGCAAACAGATCAAGGAATAAAGAAGTTCTTTGGGAACTGATAAGGGAATAAATACAGGATATTATCATCACATGAGGAAGCTACAGAAGAATAGCAGCACCATCCTAGCTTTGTATAAGAAGCTTTGCACATGTATTCCAATTTGTTTTTTATTTGCATGAATGCTAAAAGCTTATATAAGAAGAGAATACAAGTAGTTATGAGAAATGGGGGGGATGAAGGAATAACAAGACTTATCATAGATGTTTTGTGTTATTTTGATTATTAACAACATCATTTTATCGCCCATTGCTGTAGGTGGAGCTATATTATACATCGCCTCAAAAGATATATTCAGATACTGATCCACAGAACCTATAAATATGACCTTATTTGAAAATCATGTCTTCACAGATGTGATCTATGTCAGATGAGGCCATCCTGAGTAGGTGGTCACTAATAGAATGCCAGATATCCTGATAGAGGAAATCTGGACACAGAGACATAGAAGAAGATTGTGTGACAATGAAACCAGAGACTGGAATGATACAGTTTTAAGCCAAGAAAGACCAGGAACACCTGGTGCCACAGAAACTAAGAAGAGGAAGAGAAGAACCGCATTCCCATTCCCCCAAGCCTTCAGAGAGAGCACAGCCCTGCTGATACCTTGACTTCGGACTTCTGCCGTCCAAATCAGAACAGTTCATTTCTGTTATCTTAAGCCATTTGTGCTACAATGGGCCCAGAAATCAGTATACTAATCTAAACATACTGAGCAGTTGTGTGTCTAAAATACATATAAATAATATTACACATAAATTGTATATAACATACATAGTAAATAAAAGATAGGTAGGTGGGCAGGTTGTGCAAGGGATACCCTTAGGCCCTACCTGCATGAGGTCCCGCCGCTCCTTCTCGCCAGTATAAATAGCTTTTTTGATGGTGTGAAGCTCACTCATTATAGCCTGAGCCTCATCCAGTTTGTAGTTAGTGTGAGCACTTGACATCTTCCGATCAATCCTAGTTAAAAAAGAAAAATTAAGGTTGTTCCACATAAGACCATAACATTCCTTTAAACAACAATAAAACCCCCAAAAAAAGTCTTTGTAGAAAGGTGGGACACAACTAAAAGCAATATTTTTGACACAGATTGGTGAAGACTCAACAAAACCTTCCTTCATTGTAGGAACTACAGAGAGCTGAGACTTAGCTGGAAGATGGCTGCCTTCACTCTGGAAGCATCCCCTGCAGCATAGAGACCCATATCCTCTATTAAGGAGCAGGCAGCAAGGTAACTAGCTTTAGTAAAGGATTGTTAAGTCCCCTGAGAGGAGGATTAAGTCTTCTCTGTTGCCAGCATATATCCAGATTAATAGTCAAAATGTTTATGAAATGAGATTTGTGTATAAGGAGAGTACATGGGAAGTAGCAATAAGTAATGAGTTTCAACAATGGTGCCTTATGCAAAAGCTGGAAAGGTTTGTGTCCTCTCATTTCATTCTAGTTTTCTGTCCTCCCTACCTACAATCCAAACATCCATCTATCCAAACTTCCTTCTTCCATGTTTTCCTCCCTCTCCCCTTACCTCCCTCCTTCTGTCTGTCCATCCATCTATCCTTCCAGCCAACTCCTATGCATGGTAGGCCAGGTTAAGAATGGTGGAAGTAGAGCACAGAACAGGACAAGACTGCACTTCACCTTCAGCTAACAGGCAGCCTCTGGAGTGCTTCCTCCGTCCTGTCTCCCATACCTAAATCTCAAGCTTTGGGAGCCCTCAGGGCTAAGGAGCTTGGGAAACTTGTCCAGAGATGGAATGAAGTCCTTCCCTGGAAAGCAATTAGCTTGCTTTTCAGGTTCCAGACCTAACATTACACAGGTTATATTGCTAATCTTTTTCTCACACATCACCCTGAGAATGTCGCTTATTAACTGCCAGGCCAAGCTGCCGTGTTTCCACTCTCCACACCTCTTGGTATCCTGCAAGTCAGAGTAGCGCATTAGCCTGTCCATTCGATACCTGTGGGACCCCTCCCCTCTTCTCCACCAGTTTCTTTGGGTCTGAAAAATGAGGTTAATAAAAACACTATTCTCATAGTATGGGCTTGAGATTTAAAGAGAAAATGCAAGGGAAGACCTCATTTTGCAGGAGGCCTGGCCTGCAATATTTGCATTGATGATTATTACCAGGGTGATGTGGTATCTACTGACTCATGAAGAAAAAGTAAATAAGGGGCCAACTCTGATTTCTTTTCAACATTAATAAACTCCTTGCCACGTGTGACACAATTTGCAGTGAAGCAAACTAGTTTCCCTCTTCTCTACAGCGTGTTTTCAAGTACCTGGGAATGGATACTAATCAAATACCTATAGACATACAGAGGGTGGAAGGGTCAAGGTTGCAGTCTGAGAGGGTAATGCTATTGCTTCCGGTTTTTGACTTGAATGTTGTTGCTTTCAGCAGCTAAAACATCAAAGTATGGCCATCAGTAATTCCACAAATGGAGACAGCAGCCTCCTGAGGTGCCACATTCTAGAAGAGAATAGTTACTTCAACAGGGAAAACAGATTCCGATCCCATTATGGAGAAGAGCAGTAGCTTTTCTATTACAGGACATGTCCCGAACCAAAGTGCGAGTCTGAGGGCAAGGATCTGAGCTCTGGCCTGGAGAAGCATGAATAAGAATGGACCAGGACCACTGTTTGGGCCCTGTACCAAGAAACCCTAGAGTAGCAAGCCCAATAGCAGTGTGGTGAGCCCAGGAAGGGCTGGGAGCCCTAGTCTTGCTTCCCCAGCAGTTCCTCAGTTCTCTGTCACAGATATTCTAGTTTCATACAAGTAGTCAGATGCAGGAAAAGATTTTACCATTAAAGAAATAAATGTGACAGTCGTGAATAACATGGTCTCAAGGCTAGAACTCTCTAAACAACTATTTCCAAAAATTAGTTATGTTGGCTGGGAATGTGGCTTAGTGGTAGAGTGCTTGCCTAGCATGCAGGAAGCCCTGAGTTTGATTCCTCAGTACCACATACACAGAAAAAGCCAGAAGTGGTGCTGTGGGTCAACTGGTAGGGCGCCAGTCTTGGGCAAAAAATCTCAGGGACAGTGCCCAGGCTTTGAGTTCAAGCCCTAGAACTGGAAAAAAAAATAGTTATGTATTATTATACATTGTTACATGAAAATAGCTCAGTATATCAAGCATAGGATTTTACATCCTCTGTGCTTGTCATGGGGAAACTATTTGCCAGGTGCAGATGGCTCATGCCTGTAATCCTAACTACTCAGGAGGCTGAGATCTGAGGACTGTAGTACAAAGCCAGGATCAGCAGGAAAGTCTGTGAGACTCATATCTCCAATTAATCACAGAAAAAGCCAGAAGTGGCACTGTGGCTCAAGTGGTAGAGTGCTGGTTGTGAGCAAAAGGAGCTCAGGACAGAACCCAGGCCCAGAGTTTAAGCCTCAGGACTGGCAAAAAAAAAAAACAAAACACTATCTGGTCATATTGTATGATATATTACAGAGATTTTATCTGAAAGTAGTTCAATATGTCAACCACCTGTTACATGACAGGGTCTGATGCATGCTTTACACCTGGCATTTAACCACTTCAACAGCCTTATGAGCTAAGCACAATCTTTTTACTTAATAAGGAAGTTGGGCAGGGCGCCAGTGGCTCACGCCTATAATTTTAGCTACTCAGGAGGCTAAGATCTGAGGATTGCGGTTCAAAGCCAGCCCAGCCAGGAAAGTCCGTGAGACTCTTATCTCCAATAAAACCGTCAGAAAACCGGAAATGGCACTGTGGCTCAAGTGGTAGAGCACTAGCCTTGAGCTGAAGAGCTGAGGGACAGTGCCCAGGCCCAGAGTTCAAGCCCTACAACCAACCAAAAAATAATAATGAAGTTTGGGGTCAGAGCAATTTAACTTAGTGCCCAGATGAAAAATTAACCAGCAAAATCTGGGCTGTAGGTATGGCTCAAGTGGAAGAGCACCAGCCAAGCAAGCAAGCTAAGCAAGAGTGAGACTCTGAGTTAAAATTCCGTTTGGAGAATGAGGCTAATGGAAAAGAAAGTAGCCAGTGAGAAAGAAAGCTCAGACCAGGGAGACCACTCATCTAGAGTCTGGTTTGTATTCTACAGGAGAGAGAAGGCTGCAAGAGGGTCACAAGCAGAGGAGACATTGAAAAGAATCCCTGTGGTCACCTCACAAGAATGTGAGTCATAATAGTAGCTCAGCTCAAAGCGGTCACAGTGGAATCTGTAAGAAGGACTGAGTGCCAGGTATGGAAATATCACATCACCACCAACGGATGTGGTAACAAGGTGGTCAGGGCAGCATTTTGGCCATTGCGCCAGCCCCCCCAGGGACATTACAGTTGTCATGGCAGAAAAGGGCTTCAATGCCATGTAGGCATGGTACACTCGGGGTGAAACCATGTTAAATGAATTTCTGGCTGCAGGACAATAATCTAACACATTCCAGATCTCCATTAGGAAACTAAACGAGGATCCTCCCACACCAATGAGCATGCTCAGTTCATTCTCGTGGGTCTCCTGATGGGAAACACTACAAGTATCCTAACTTTGTGTCCTTCCATTTGCCCATAGACACTAGAAATGAATCATATTAAGGCAATTTTTCAAATTAAGCTTCAGAAACTTGATGGCAACATTGTAAAGTAGATATTTTGCTGGTAAAACTTACTTTTTCTTTTTGTCAGTCATAGGGCTTGAACTCACAGGGCCTGGGCACTGTCCCTGAGCTTCTTTACTCAAGGCTAGCATTCTATAAGTTGGAGCTACAATTCTATTTCTGGTTTGTCTTTGGTAGCTAATTGCAGATAAGAGTCTTACAGACTTTCTTGCTCTGTCTAGCTTTGAACCGTAATCCTTAGAAATCTCAGCCTCCTGAGTAGCTAGGCATGAGCCACTTAAGTTTACCTTTTCTTAACACTTTATTTATTGTAAGTGAGGGACCTATCTTCTCAAGTTTCTTACAGAGGGATTCAAAAGAAATGCAAATGAATAGGAAACTTTCACTGATAGGACTAGCAAACATGTCAAACCTCATCATACACCAGTGACAGGAAGATAACATGGTAAAACTATAAAAAGGATAATTTGGCAATGTCCAATAATATGACAAATGCATGGACCCTTTGACCCAGAAAGCCCATCCTGAAAGACCCATATACACAACACTAGGTGAAAAGCTAATGGGAAATACTATACCTGGATTCAGCACACCAAGAAAGCTAGAACCCCTTGATAATCTTCACAGCACAAAGAGACAACCAGAGAGTATGTACCCCTTGAAGGAAGTAACACCAGCACCTACAAAACATCTTTACTAAAGAAAAAAGGAAGAAAGTGGAGAAGGAACACAAAATAGAAACAGCCTCTTGAACAAATTAACCTGTGCGCTCCAATAACAAGAGACAAAGGACAAGTTCAGCAATGCCTTGGGACTTCAAGCAACAAGATCTATCAGGGAAATTTTTAAAAGAGAAGTAAATTAGGTTCTTCAACAACTAAGTTACCAGAAAAAAAGAGACACATTACACAAATACACTATGGGCCTCATCAGAATCTGGATCTAAGCACGCCATAGAAACATGAAAGCTTGCTAGAAAGGAATACCTAGTAATTGGGGTATTGGGAAGAAAGTTATGCTTCCAAAAGCAGTCCACAGCTTTAGGACATCTATTTATCAATCAAATGGGATTATTGGATTTGCTTCAATAAGGGACCGAGAGCTTAGTATATGAGACAAAGCCACAGATGAACTAACACTGATTATTGTGTAAGCAAAAATTGGATGATGGATGCAGAAAGGTTTCATTATACTATTCTATGTCTGACAATTTCCATCATTGAGATGTGTGTATATACACATACATATTCAATACATCCCCGCCCTATCCCCCCTTTCCTCCCTCCCTCCCTCCCTCCCTCCCTCCCTCTCTCTCTCTCTCTCTCTCTCTCTCTCTCTCTCTCTCTCTCTCTCTCTCTCTCTCTCCTTG